ATAAGATTATTACAACATTAACTTACGTTAAATGTATCAATGTGAAATGAAAATTATGTTGAATGAAGTTGAGAATATACATAGTTGAATGGTAGTTCAATTGTGTTTAATGGCTAAGTATTAATCAAACAATGTGTAAGTTTTGAGTTCAATTTCCGTTGAGGTCATAATCAATCGTTGATTATAATCTTATATTATAACAAAGAATCTTTCAATTTCTCATTGGTCTTTAATCTCAATCAATGAATAATATCCAATTATAGAGTAAACTGATTAGTGAAAGTTTTGTATAATCTTGAAATTGAAGACTTATTTTATTATTATACCAAATGATCGATCAGGGCTCTTTACCATCACTTAATGTAATTGCCTAAATATATATAAATATACATCATGTTTGAGGATGTGATTTGGAATGATCCAGCTGAGACATTTGATGCCTATATACAGTCACTCCCTTTTAATTTTATCTAACACTAATTTATTGATTTCTGGGATTTTAATTCATATACATTACCTAGATTTGGACAGTTGTGACCGTCCTTACCTTATAAATTAGATATTAAGAATTCTCAAAAGAAATTCATTGAGAAATGTCGTATTTCATGCATATCGATCAACAAAATACCCTTAAGAATGAATAAACAGATATAGCGTGGAATTGATTCCAATCAAATCTCACGTATTTGGGTTGATCGGAGAAATCAATCAGCATATTAATTAGTGACCCAATTTATAAAGGTCAAAATAATTAATGAGATAAGTGGATAATACAGATACTCACAAGCACAGATTTATGAAAGTGTACATTAAAATTCGTAGTTGAACCTACGAGTATGTAAAAAATAACTAATAACACCAAAATGACTTAAATATTACATGATTTTTCTGGTCTTTAAACTTACACCCGAACTCTCGATCCAATTTCCTGGCCGCTCTTAATTACGTCAAATATGATGTAAGAGAGAAGGCGAGAGCTACTTAAAAAACCTTTGACTTCACGGTTAGTTTATGATTTGTAGAGTTATGCACAATTAGACTTCTGGAAATTGCTAGAACCACACTAAATATAGAAGTCTAGGTAAATATGTAAACAGAAACGTAACGTGACTTCACTTTCTAGACGTTTCTGTGAACTTTCCATTCAACGCTGATTAGATCGAGTGTTTTCAAAACTTTTCTAAGCCTTTATTAACACTTTCGGGCAACACTTTGGAACTCTCCAATAGTTAAATGATTTGTTTGGTTTTTTAATCTACTTGAACAAAGAATAGGCACTTGATACAAAATGTCATTAATAAAAATATGGTCAACAAAGAAGTAGACTGGGAAAAATTGAGCCAAGCCAGAATATGATATCGAATGATCAGGACAATAAATGTTGAATATAGTATATGTCAGGAGGTATAAATCTTATGATTAGACTTTCTGCAATAATTGTATTCAATGGTTAAAGATCAAACTCGGTTGTACTTGTTCAGATCAATTCAATTATTTTCATCATCTCATTCTAGATCCTGAATTTTTTCTGTAACTTTTATTACTGTTTCAGGATTGTCATTTATCAGTCTCATTTACTTTTTTTCACACTACATTCATTTCTTATATTCTAAATACTTTTCTTCTTTTTATATTAATGTGTACTATTGTGATATGTGCTACTGATGTTGACAGATATAAGTAGTATGGATTATCAATTGTAAGTAGAATGCTTAGGGGCAGAAGGTTGAGAAAACCGAAGAGAAGAGAACAAGAACAGAAAATCTAAGACAACTCACGGATATTTTGCAAATGAGGTATTTACTGTATGATTCTCAGATTTTGCCAAGTTATTCTGTTATGTTGTATTACGATACAATTGTTCCCGTTCACTACACTGTTCAAAACTTAAGACTGTACACATTTGTATTAGATCTGGCAACAATAATAACTAATTCCTATTCTCAATCTTTAAAAGGTTTTAATAATTTTTTCTGGTTAGCGTTATTTTAGCGAGTTAGTTTTCTACGGGATGGGGACGCTAACCCCATGCCCAACCCTCCTCCTTTATCCGGGCTTTGGACCGGCAGTAGTCCCCGGAGGGACTCCAGACGGAGTTTGGCGCTTCCGGGTGGCCGGACACTATTAACAACAAACATGCTGTGGGAGAGAACATACCAGATCCCAACGGAGGAAGGAATCAGGAAGAAGCGCTGGAAGTGGATAGGACACACATTGAGGAAAGCACCCAACTGCGTCACAAGACAAGCCCTCACATGGAATCCTCAGGGTCAAAGCAGGAGAGGAAGACCAAAGAACACATTACGCCGGGAAATGGAAATAGACATGAGAAGAATGAACAAGAATTGGATGGAATTAGAAAAGAAGACACAGGACAAAGTGGGTTGGAGAATTCTGGTCGGCGAAAGTAAGTATTCTCAATCTTCTCTGTATATATATAAAAAAAGAGAACCGAATTGAACACACTGAATAAAAATAAAAGAACATTAATAGTACTAAAATTTTTTTATATTTTTCTGTAAATTGTATTTGACTTTAGGCAAATATTAATCATAGTAAACATATGGATATATATATATGGAATATTTTTTTCTAAAAAAAATCTTATACGTAATGTTAAATAATGTGCACCATATGTCAGTGATTGGGTAGGTGAGTGAATGAGTGATTGATTGATTGATTGAGTGAGTGAGTATGTTTTCTATGTTTGATTAATCAATGGATCAGTTGATTGATCAATAAATTGTATCAGGACTTTACATTTTTTTTAAAAAAGCGTTTGTATATTTATTTATAATATAAATATATATTTTTTTCCATTCATTATCCCATTCCAGATAAATTAACTTCCAGTTTTTGTTGTTGTTGTTGTTGTTTTCATTCAAAGAATCACGAAAATGGTTTTAATTTTATGCTTAAATAAACAGTGTTTTCATTTTGCCTTTATTGTATAGGTATTTTGTAGTTTTACAGATAAATGTTTATATTCATTCATATAACTCTGTATGTATATAGATATAAAAAAAATAGAAAGAGAAAGAGAGAGAGAGAGAAATCACAAACGCAAGACATTTCTCTTTTCCACCACTAGTTGTATTTTTTCGATTTCATTAATAATGATGTGTTAGTGATATTGACTGTTGTAGGGGTGGGAAGAAACAATCAAAAGTAAGAATATAGCATACAGAGTAACAAGAAAAGATATCTGAAGAGAAGATATAATCAAGGATAAATGAACTGATGAATGCCTGATTAATTGGTTGCTTACTTCAAACAATGTATACAAATTGAATCAATTGTTTTCTTCAATTAACTTATATATGTATAAATTCATTGTAAACAAAAATGAATGATTAATGTGAACGAGTTGTTTACATAAAATAATAGATAGTCTTTTTGCTTTTCTCAGTAAACATGCTATTTTCCTCTGGTAAAGTTTTATGATATTCTGTTTATTTTGTTAATTGATCATTGTATTTTTGGTACCCTTACAATTTGTAATATATAAATGCATATAGAATGAAATAGATTTCTTTGGTTTTATACTCTATATTTATCCGGGATTTAATGGTTATGTGTGTACATATAAATGTATACGTGTGTGTAATTTTTCTTTTGTGGAAAAGCAAAAAAAAACTTTGTTTACGTTATATGTATAGTTAATTTGTACTGACAACAAAATATTTGTTAAATCAAGACTAGATTTTTGAATGAAAATGAGTTTTGTCTTATATAGAATGTAATTACGCTGAACTAAACATTTTAACAAAAAAATTAATAGTGAGAAACCATAAAAATGATGTGCGAAGAGTAAAACAGGAATGAATTACATGTGTTTATTCACCTGATCGGTTTCATTATACAAATTAACATTAGTAACTATGTGAGTTTCCATTATGAAAAAGAAATGTACATATACCATATACGAAATGTTTTGTATATAAATATATGTATATAAATAAAGAATGTGCATGTTCACCTATATTATTTGACATCAAACTCTTTCTCTAATGTAAAAGAGCTGGATTAAAATTAGAATAGATAAGATGCCTACATCAAAAATGAATTCCATGTTATTATTGTTTATATGTTTTACTTAAAAAGATGTAAATTCTTACCATCACCATTATCAATTCACATTTGTTACCGACATTCTTTATTTATAAAATTCAATGTAATTTTTTTTACACATCATTTTTCTCAATATACAACTTCACAGGCAAAATGATAAAAGAATTTCAAGAGAATAAAATCAAAAGAATAAATAATATTACACTTTTTATTCAATGAAGAGGAAAAACAGAAACAACAAACAAAAATACAATTATTTTTGTTTTATTTTCTTTAGAAAACTAAATTCCTTTATATATATTTACTACTAATATTAATTAGTTTTGTTTCTAATTAATTAAACTAATAAATATGATGGAGTATATATTTTACATGATAAAATAATATTTATACTACATAATAAGATATTAAATAGTGTGATCAATATAATTTAACCTGATCTTTGTTTTTTTAGTATTGTAATACAAACAACACAGCCATGTTTATCATCAATGTTTATAATACGATTACTTATTTATTGATTTTTTTTTCTCAAAACAACAACAACAAAAAATGATGAACAACTAATCACCAACTCAATAAATTTAAATTTTTAAAATAAATCAATAATTTTAATTCTCTTATTAGTGAATTGAAAATAACACGTGTGGTATATTCATAATAATAATAGTAATAATAATCAAGATAATCGATATTCATTTAAGAAATGCACCTGTTCAAATTATTGATTTAAAAATTGACAGATATAACGTAAATAATCGATAAATGACGTAATAAAATGCTAACTATATATATATATATAAACAAGCGATAAATGTTAGTGTGCATATACAGAATTATATATATGTAATAAGTATTCATCATTTTACAAATTATTGATCGTCTATTAAAGAAAAAAAATATATATGTATATAGTTCAATGAATACAATTAAACAATACTATCATCATTATTACTAGAACTATGATTCATTGTATTATTGATATTTGTTCCAGATACTGTAACATTTGAAGTTGTACTAATGATTGCATTTTGACTAGGTGGTGCAGTTGGTGAATGATTTTTATTTGAATATCTTGAAGATGGTATAGTTGTGCCTAATATTAAATCATTTGTATCACCAATATAATTGGAACCATTATTATTGTTATTATTATTGATCAAATAATCTCCTGGTGTATTACTAAATGCATCAAGATATTTTTGTTCTTCCATAGTTTCATGTAAACGTTTATGTCGATAAATATGCCATAATTCACAAGTTAAATCACCAGCCATTAAATCACCAACATTTATTGATATTAAACGTATTAAAAAAACACCATCTGGACGTAAATAATTTTCAACAAATTTACTAGTTGCCGCTTTATCTGTATCACGCATAACTGACATAATTTTTAAATATTTTCGAATGAATTTAATACGACATTTTGATGATCCCATACGATAGAACCAAATAATAAAACTACTCAATGTAATTATACCAACTAAACAATGCCAAAACCATAGAAATATGTAGATTTTCTCGAGGAACATATTCAGTGGAAGGACACATTGTAGAGTATATCTAAAAAATATATTTTTTATTGTTGCGGTAAAAAAAAACACACAAAAAAGAGAAATCAATAGTAAGTATATAATTCAAACTGTTGTTATCATAGAAAAAAAAGATTTAAACGTGATGGAGTCATGAATACTACTTAATTCCTAAATCTTCTACCCCAATAAACACTAATTTGTTAGTGTTAACATGAATCGATTAAAATATCTGTATTATGTCATGAATTTATTCCTGAAATGTTAAGATTTACTATCGAGATTTAAAACTATAAAATCACTTATTTAAATTTCTTGACTCATAAAACGAAGACTGGAAGTCATTAAAGAAAACCATTGAAAATCAGAATAGATTGTATGAGCCTGTTTATCAGTGCTCATTCTGATCCCACTATGGCTGTAGGCTATTAACAGAAAATTCTAAAACTAGGTTTTGTGTTAAATGATAGATGTCAACAAGAGGTCACTGTTGCCTTGAAAAAACTGATGCTTATCGTGAAACATAAACCGTAGTCGTTCATTTTCATCAATCCCACTAGATTATTTTTATAATCACATACCACCTATGATTAATTTAATGTATAACTATCAGCCTTCAAAATACATAGCTTCTCACTGATAGCCATTAAATAACTTAGCATAAATGATGTTGAATCATTTAGACCAATAACCACATTTTAGCTTGATATAATTCGATCATCTCTATGAGCTAAATAGCTATATCAATCGTTACCATTCAGAGATCAATCAGTATTCAATAGAAAATTATTAACAAACTAATCACATCAAATATGATACCTTGATCTTAATATTTTAATGCACATTACTAAAATGATTACGTAAGTATTAAGAAATTAGACTTCAAACATATTCTACTCTACACTCAACCGTTTTTTCTAAAAAAAAACTTGCTCAAAGATTTAACTGCAACTTAGATTCATGATTATACTCCTTAAACGGATTAATGTTTAGATTCAAAATAGTCACTTTTTTCTTCGTCAACATATATATGAAAAATAGAGAAATAACAAGAAAAGTATCATTTCTATTATCAAAACAATGAAGAAGAAGAAGAAGAACTAGCAGAAAAATGATCAATGTGTATAAGGATTATAATCTGAAAGTTAAAGTATTGGAATTTTTCAACCACAACAACAACAAGAAAAAAAATTATTCACAAAACACCAATATGGAAACACATAATAACCTACTAATTTTTTCATAATATAAATTGTAATTTAAGTGGATTAGAGTATTTGAATACAATTTATCTTTGTTGCTTTATGTATCATAGAGTATTTGTTACCTTTTTTACTTCTCTTACAAAATATTTTGAACAAAATGAAAAGGAATAACAGAAATCCCACCAAGTTTAACAGGGATGAAATAAAAATTCACATAAAAGAAAACAACAAATTATTATTCAATAGCTTACTTCTGACTTACTAACTACTCTTAGAGTATTGAAATGGATTATCGAGATAGTAATACCATTTCATTGAGTAAAAAAGTAATAATAATAATAATAAATTAAACTTTATGTATAAGCTGATTTGAAATGAAGGATAAATAGACAAATCGAATTGTATTGTTATATAGACACAAAATGAAGCGGAATTATTGCCTGACATTTATAGTGACTGTTTCATATTAGTGAAAGTTGAACGGTATTAATAATGATGGCAATAATAATAATAATAATAATAGTCTCAGCTCTGGTTGAATAATTTTTGTTGTTGTTGAAAATTCACAACTTAACATAATTTCATAATGTTTTTCAATAGAAATTTATTAGTGTATATGTACTGTCAAAATGTAGATAGAAGAAACTATCAAATGTGAACACTATACGACAATGAATTGACTGTTAAGTTTATCTCACTATAGATTTCAAAAACCTAAATTTATTTATTTCGTTAAAACTCAAGTCTATGATATGAGTTGTTAGTCAGTTTTCTTAACATTTATAAAATATGGGACTCCTCAGCAGTGCGCATCCACGATCCCGCACCACGCGGGGCTTGAACCCAGGACCTACTGGCTTCGCGCGCGAGCACTTAACCATTAGACCACTGAGCCGGCATCCACTCGATCTGTGAAAATTTCTAAAATCTCCACAAACCCCTTCTGATTTATAAAATACGTTAGACATCGCAGTTCAATATTAGACGTATATAAAAACAATCACAGAGAACCAGATCAAACAGTTCAAACATAATGTATTACCGAAATAATTTCAAATTCTTTATATTGTTTATAAGGATATTATCGCTGTAACTTTAGTGAACTAGGATACTGATTTAATAGCATTGTGAAAATATATTTAAATAATTCATATCAGAAGTGTTTTGTGGATATTATAGTAATTTCAATGGTTGAGATCATGAGTTAATTGAAGCTAGACCACCATGGAAAACCTGGAAGCACTGGATGGCCATTTCGTCCTATTGTGGGACTCCTCAGCAGTGCGCATCCACGACCTGAATGAAACAATAAATAATGACACCGTGATTTGTGCAAATCATTTCGACAGACATCAGTAGTATGTAACACCAATGGGAAGTGGGATGCTTGTCAAAAGAAGGTTAAACTGAAGAGAACAGAAAGGAATTGGAATTAAAGCAGAATTGGAAGAATCATGAGGGATGCAAAGGACAGCTGAAAGATATGCAGATTATGTATTTGATGGACGATTTTCACATTTTACTAAAGCACTGTGTGATTGTTCATTAAACAATAAATTGTTCTTCCCCACCTGAGTTCTTGTTCATTATATTGTTCGGGACACTGAAAGAGACAGAGTATCAGTTATTATTAAGTCTATGGATTGTTGTTATGGATCACAGCATGAATATCTCAGAGACTGCCTCCAACTAATTAATGTTCTTGTGTGCATATATTATCGTATCTATGTGACACAGGTTGGAATCAATAAGTGTTAACTTCGGTAGTAATAGTTTTTCTTAAGAGTAAACAGCTTACTACATTATTTACTTAGATAAGACATGGAATTTAGTATTTTAAAAAGTTAATATATTGGAACGGGGTTGATAACAGTATCGGTAAAGTCTCAAATGACCTACTTTTCTACCTCCCAATTAATTAATAATACAAGAAGATCCTTGATAGCCTTTTCCGACCTACACCATCTCATTGACCTCTTTCTATGCAACCTGATTGGTTACTTTCGCCTTTAGTTTTTTAGTTTTATTAAGTTAAAAGGTCATAGCTGTCACTATATGAAAAAAGTAGTTTCAATACAATTTCGGTTTTTTTGCAATTTTCCAAAATTTTTCAGTTTCTTATTTCTCTATAGTATTAGTTGTCCAGTCTATATGATTCACGTAGACTTGTTTGTCAACAACTACTAAAAAATGGGTTAAATTTCATTATACTTTACATTCGCTAAATCAATAATTCAAGAGTAGAAATGATATTATTTCTTCATGAATAGTTCAGTTGAAAAAATGTCTTTGAATCTTTATTGCAGTTAATCAAAACCTATTTCATAGATTTCATTTCTTTTCCATTTTAATCCTTTAAGTAATAAAAAAATAATAAAACTCTCTCCCAACACCATGTATGTTTAAATACAATTAAGAATTTTCCGTACAAACTATGCGAAATTCATTAGTTCCTAAGTACTTAACTAGTAATTATTAAAGAAAAAAAAAACAAATAAAATGTTTTATACAACTTTTCCTATTTGTGTTGTGTGTAAATTGTGAAATCTTTCAAAATAATGAATAAACAAAGGAATCCTAAACTGTTACGCTTTACCGAAGCTATTACAGTAAAGTAATTTAAACCAAATTTATGTATCCATAAAGAAACAATTGGACATCATATTTTACCCTGATGATTTTATTTCTGTGAGATTATTATGTGACCAGTGGAGCTAATCCATGTCGGGTAGAGACAGGTATCTATCTCATTACAATGGAAGATGGTCGCGCAATTTCGTGGATTGGTTGATGTTAGACATTATCACCATTGGATGCCGGGTCAGTGGTTCAGTAGGTTAGGCGTTCGCGCGCAAAACCGAAGACTCTGGGTTCGAATCCCGCGAGCGGGATCGTAGATGTGCACTGATGAGGAGTCTCACGATAGGATGAAACGGCTGTCCAGTGATTCCAGGTTTCCAAAGGTGGTATAACATCAATCGGTTCATGGTCTCAATCAAAAAAATATTATGTAGGAATTTGTTTTTATTTTTTCATAAAATGTAATCAAATTTCTGGTATGCTAATATTTACTTCTGAACTTCAGTAAACTAGTCTATATTAGATAATCTGCTGTCTCTATGCTTTTCTACAATATTCAACTATTTAATCCATAAATAAGCGAATGTTTGAACAATTATAGTTCTTCTGTCTTTACATTTTGATTCAGTTTATTCTAGACGGTTCTGATATAAAATCTGTAAAGTTATTTCTTTTTCATGATTAATACTTTGGTTCTAGATTATAAACAACGAAGAACAATCCATGAAATAAATGAATTCATGATATTTTATTTTAAAATTTCCTATAAACAATGATTAGTTACCATTGATATTCATTTGTGAAATGGTAATAGCCAGTCTTTCTTATATGAAAATTGTTTTTATTTCCATATACATTTCTTTACTGATTAATTTCATTTGTGAATAACAACTTTCAAGTTAATGATTATGAGGTATCAATTAGCAGAATATAAAAAGACTGATGTTAATAAGATTACAAGTTTCACAATTAACAGTATAGTATAATAGATTTGATTAAAAATAAAACAATCACATTTATAAGATGATATGGAAGTGTAGCTAAAAACAGAAAAAAACCAATACACAATACACACTATGTATAAGTAAAATGATTGAGTGATAACTGATATAACAAATTGTTTGTTAGTTATTGTAAAGTAAAAACAAAATCGAATGCACTTGGATTGTATGATGTTTTCAGTTATTATATAATTATTACATATTGTACATGATACAGTAGTTAATGGTTTAAACAATTGACTTCC